ATTTCCTGTATGGTGATTGGCTCCTAAGATATCGATGATCAAATCCAAGAGTCCTTTTTAAAAAAAAATAGGTATCTCAACAAGAAATATCGTATCGAGGTTTTGCAAAAAAAATAAACAGGTTACCGAGTTCATTCAATGGTTTAGCGGAAAACATTTTTCCAAGTACTGGAACCCAAATAACAGTTGTTTGTAAAGAATCATTCAAGGAAGAACAACAATTTTACGATTTCAAAATATCGAATCATGCGCTATGAAAAACTAGATAATGAAATAGTATTTTAATGCAGTGAAACAGTCTCTTTGTATCAGTTTACTATTTTTTAAATCCGAGAGGAATGTGCAGCTCCTAACACTACAAATAATAATAATAAACGTCTTTATTAAATAATATATACAATACATGTGTATATTTATATATATATATATATATATATATATATATATATATAAAGTGTAACTATAGTGGCAAAGTTTAGCAATTTGAGCAATTTGCTACTCTAACACTTAACCACTAAAGTTAAATATTACGTTGTTAACAGCTAACAGAAAAAAAAATGCAAAATATATATAACAAATCACTTATAACCCATATGAGAAGTGGAAAATGAGATATTTTGTGTGCACATACTGCTACTCTAAAAAGGTCTATGAAATATTGAGGGAAAAGTTAATCGTTCAAATAAGTCAACTTAACATTGTAGCGAAAACATGGTAAACTCATGGTCTTAAATTTACTGTCCAAAGAATTATATATTGCTGCAACGTTATATGAGAAACTTCGTTGGAACAGAGATGTTGTATGCTTCGAAATTCTGATAACGTGCCTGTCTCTAATAGCTCTATTGTGAATGGTGTTATTAAGAATAATTTTTTCACATAGGTATTCTGGCTTAGAAATAATTAAAATTTTATTGATAAATGTGGAAAAATGTAACTTGACCAACTGGTCAAACTTTAGCCATCTCAACTCTGCATATTTGTGAGAGAGATGGTCGAACTTTCTCATGCCGAATATAAAGCGAACACAGCTGTTTTGAATCAATTGGATTCTGTGTTTAGTGGTCTGATCCAAACAGGTAAAATATAGAATACTGCAGTAGTTCAAGACAGATACAACGAAGGTTTCGCAAAGTTTTTTCCTCATTTTGAAGTTTAGCAGATATCTGTTTGAATAGACTGCGTAAACGTGCATAGGTTGCTCGGTAAATCTTAATTTTGTATCAATTTCTACACCCAATATTTTTGTGCTATTGGTGAGCTCGAGCTGCTTATTGTCTATGTTCACATTTAAGAGCGAAACAACGTAAGATGTATATTGAAAGAAGTAAGCTAAAGAAAATTTGATCACGTTATGACTGACTAAAAACAATGAAGAAATCAAAAGATACCAGCTTTTCGCCAGATGATAAAGAAACTTCCGCATCAGAATTCAGTGGAGATGAATAAATGAAAATATTTCAAGTTTGTATCAAAAGTTGAGTTAAACAATGTATTAGTTTATTTCATTCAGTAACGCAACAAAAAATAACACTTTCAACGCAAAATTTTGTTTTATTGTATACCTTAAAAAATAAAAAAAACTCCATAAACCAGTCAAGTCCATTAATTTTTCCTCATAGCTTATTTATTTTTTTATTTACAGATTGATATATTTGAAAAATAATGCAGCGGAATTATCTGCAATTGACAACAAATACGAAAATTTTCAGTAACAAACATGTCTTTTGTTTCCTCGACATTTTTTCTCATGTGACTTGGCTGATTTATGCATATTAGAAACAGAATTTTTTTTCAAAGCACTTACCAAGCTTGATTCTGCCTCCAAATGTATCCAAAAAGGTTCACAACAGCACGTGATCACTGTGAACTGGCACTACACCACCGAAAGTCACTCTCCTCACTTTTGATCAATACTAATCGTTTCGGTTTTTTTTCCGAGAAAACTGCGACTCTCTCGCGCTCGTCGGTTTTTATCATAGCTCGGCCGAATTGACAACTGATCGCCCACCGGCCGTACCGCTGATATCGTCGTGATGCTGTGCGCTCGATTACGTCACAGTCACATGTCTCCCTTCTGATTGGCGGGGAGCCACGCTTGCGGGATCTAGTGGTTTGCGATAGTCTCACGCATCTATGCCAGTTTACTGCGTCGAGCGGTGCATTTCGGACGCGATTGTGTTTCTCGCGAAACATTAACGAAAGTAACGGCGTTCGGGTGATCAAATGTGATGGTTTTTCGGTTGTGTAGTGCCAGTTCGCAGTGATACGTGGTGTGTGGTGCCGCAAACCTTTTGGATACATTTGGAAGTAGGTCAGATGTCTTCAGGGGTTGGTAAGTTTTGAATTCAACTGTTTCCAACGATATTTGCGCTGTACTGCCGCCATAAGCCAGAACGCAGTACGTACAAAAAATGCGATATCGACATTATGATCTGAAGGACACGTAAAAAAAGCCTGCTTTGATTATAAAATACAATATATGTCATGATAAACAACGAAAATACAAAAATTTTCTTTTACAGTGTCTAGCATTTTTATATAACAATAAACTAAAACATAGTAATTGAACAGTATTTAATGTATTCTTGCTTAGAAACCATACAGATATGTTTTAATTTATAACTAAAGCAATGGCTTAGCAGATACACTTAATCACACCGAATTCATAATAGTTTTAATTACTTTTCGTCAGTCATTTAGTATATTTGTAAGAATACTGTTAAACGTTTTTATAGGTTTTATATACTAAAGATTGTCCAGGGTGTTCATGAAGTATGGACCATAAATTTAACAGACGATTCTTTTTGACTAATTTTAAGACAAAAAGTCCATACAAACATAGATCCACAAATTCTTCGTTCTCATGATACAGGGTGTTAAAATTGAAAAAAATGGTTTTTCGTAAATGTTATAAACATCCTTTACCTAATTTTGTTGTAATTTGGTGGTGGTATTTATAACAGTAACACGTTCAACTCCGGTATTCGGTGTGCCACGTGTATTTTCAAATGTAATTTCAACAAATCTTTTATGAAGTAGTCTAGGTTGTCTGTTTAGAAGTTTAATGCACCGTAAAGAGAATAACGTCATACGGATAAAAAGAACGCTCTATGCGCGTTTCACTTTGAGTTGTGATTTTAGTTGTTTATTACAACGTCAATAACATTTGAAATACAGAAAAATGTAACATTTGCAAACAAAATTTACATAAAATACAAGAATACAAATAATAAACAAAAGTGAAACCTGTATGACTTAAAACAAGTTACTTTCATGAAATTCACGACGTTCTATTGTATTTTTTTCTTTTTCTACAAAGATAAAACAATAGACAAAAGTGGGTACAGTATTTCTAAAACATCACTTTCATAAAAATTCCTGGCGTTTATCTTGAATTGTATTTTTTTATTAAAAATCACTGACATTAAATAGGAACTGCGTTAGTGAATAATTACACAAAACGCGCGTTGGTGGCACCGACCGTAAACGAGACTGAACGCGCCTGGCGCGTTGAAAGTATTTTAAGGAGTTAATTTAGCCCTAACCTGATTAAATTTATCAAGTCCAGTGGAACCTGGAACGGGATCTGAATGGTTATGATAAAAAATGTACGCCAATGACTTCTGTGCAATTTTTATTATGTTCTTTGGATAGAGCAAAAACAAATACAACTTTTTTGTCTCTTGTAACGATACTGTTAAACGTTTGTATAGGTTTAATATACTAAAGATTATACAGGGTGTTCATTAAGTAGTTAAAATAGAAAAATTGGTTTTTCGTAAATATTTTAAACGTTTTTCGTAAATATTTTAAACATCCTTTATCTAGTTTTGTTGTAATTTGGCGGTGGTATTTATAACATTAACACGTTCACCTCCGGCATCTCTTCTAATAAGAGCCTTGTATTTTCAAAAGTAATTTAAACAAATCTTTTATGAAGTAGTCTAGGTTGTCTGTTTAGAAGTGTAATGCACCTTAAACACAAAAACCTCATACAGATAAAAAGAACGCGCTACGCGCGTTTCACTTTGAGTTGTGATTTTAGTTTTTTATTGCAATGTCAATAACATTTGAAATACAGAAAAATGTAACATTTATAAACAAAATTGACATAAAACACAAGAATACAAATAATAAACAAAAGTGAAACCTGTATGACTTAAAACAAGTTACTTTCATGAAATTCACGACGTTCTATTGTATTTTTTTCTTTTTCTACAAAGATAAAACAATAGACAAAAGTGGGTACAGTATTTCTAAAACATCACTTTCATAAAAATTCCTGGCGTTTATCTTGAATTGTATTTTTTTATTAAAAATCACTGACATTAAATAGGAACTGCGTTAGTGAATAATTACACAAAAACGCGCGTTGGTGTCACCGACCGTAGACAAGACTGAACGCGCCTGGCGCGATGAAAATGTTTTAAGGAGCTAATTTAGCCCTAACCTGATTAAATTTATCAAGTCCAGTGGAACCTGGAACGGGATCTGAACGATTATGATAAAAAATGTATGCCAATGACTTCTGTGCAATTTTTATTATGTTCTTTGGATAGAGCAAAAACAAATACAACTTTTTTGTCTCTTGTAACGATACTGTTAAACGTTTTTATAGGTTTCATATACTAAAGATTATACAGGGTGTTCATTAAGTAGTTAAAATAGAAAAATTGGTTTTTCGTAAATATTTTAAACGTTTTTCGTAAATATTTTAAACATCCTTTATCTAGTTTTGTTGTAATTTGGCGGTGGTATTTATAACATTAACACGTTCACCTCCGGCATCTCTTCTAATAAGAGCCTTGTATTTTCAAAAGTAATTTAAACAAATCTTTTATGAAGTAGTCTAGGTTGTCTGTTTAGAAGTGTAATGCACCTTAAACACAAAAACCTCATACAGATAAAAAGAACGCGCTACGCGCGTTTCACTTTGAGTTGTGATTTTAGTTTTTTATTGCAATGTCAATAACATTTGAAATACAGAAAAATGTAACATTTATAAACAAAATTGACATAAAACACAAGAATACAAATAATAAACAAAAGTGAAACCTGTATTACTAAAACAAGTTACTTTCATGAATTCAATTATATTATCGATTAAAACTGTAGTTCTTTCGCGATAGTTCCCCATCTATGGTAGTTTATTATAAAAATTAACAATATTGGTCTGATCAAATGTGACGTTGAGGGTTTTTCGGTTGTGCACTGCCAGTTTGCAGTGATGTGTGGTGCTGAAAACGTTTTGGATACATTTAGAAGTATGATAGTTTTTTTAATGGATGGTAAGTTTTGAATTTGTCTTTTTCCAACGATATTAGCACTATACTTGCACCATTTTCCATATCGAGTATTGATTAAAATTCAATTATCATATATGAAAATTGTTTATTTAAAAGATACTACTGACTACAAAGGACTTTGTCAAATTTTTCTCTCAAGTCGTCCGGAATGTCAACTTCTTTCAGGTTTTCATGTCCAATTTCTTCCTCAGTCCTAAAAATACTCAATTTACTTTTGGCGTATATTGTCACACAAAATACCAAATACCTTATAAGGATATCAACTAAGTTTTCACAAGCAGCTTTCGCCTCATCATCCTTTTCCCACTTGTGAAGTTCTCTCATGATAACGTAAGTGTTTTTGTCTCTGATGAACTCTCTGTTGGGCCTTTTTGCAACAAGCTGAGTTATAGCTTCTAATAGAATACATCTGAAAGCATGAATTATAATTGGGTAACAATGAAACAAAAACATTTTTCTAAGAAACTTGTAAGTCTAAATTTTCATAAACTTTTGCACATTTGCTTTCTCTGCTGTGGCAGAATTGAGTTTTTTGCTGAGAAAGGCGTCAAACATCCCATTTTTCTACTCGAAGATGTGATGAAATTTTGTTCATTAGATGAGAATTTTAATTAGCCTAAAAAATCTAAAATTAAATTTTAAAATATTTTTCAAATATTGCAAGGTCAAATGTCCCTTTTTGGGGATTACTTTTGTTCTTATCACTTTTTCTCTTAGAAAAATCTTTGATTCTCTTTAAACCTCATTTTGCAAACTGAGTTTAAGGAAAAGCAAAGAATCATTCTTTCAGAGAAGTGGAATATTCACATACGATTTTGGATTTGTACTATTATTTGTTCTGATTGAAGAAAAAATGCACAAGAAATGCATTTTTGACAGAAACATGAAACAATCAGAGGAAAAATATTAAGAATACTGCTTCAGTCAGGCTGTTGAAAAAAGTGACATGTTATGTTGAGCCCTGCTCAACTGAAGTACAATACCTGATCTCTGGGTCTCCCTCCCTCTTTTTATCCTCAGGCAAGTACTGCAAATCCAAAGGTAATTTCTCATTATCTTCTTCATCAAACTCTTCATTACCAGCTAGTGGTAATAATAACCTTGGCAAAATATCCACATCTTCTCCTAGCAGCCACTCATGGAAATCTTCCTCAAAACAACAGTTTTTCAAAGTTCCTGCCACACCTCTTCTCCTCACAGAATTTTCATGCTCTGTGAAAGGCAACAGCCTCTGAATCACGCACCTATCTTTATCCAAAATTAATTTCCGTACACTGTGACTTTGCGATAAATTTGCAAGAAATGGTCCTAGATAGTGCAACTTACAGCCATGTTTGTTGTACTGAGTCTTTGTGAACACATTTATGATCTCATCAAAAGATCTACCATTCATCTCTATCATATCTATAATTTTTTCTGCGAGGTGTGGGAAGCGACTTAGGTTCGATAAAATCATACAGCATTCATCTGCAATAGGGCATTCAGGGTCTAAAGCTTTGTTCAGTGTTTGAATCACAATATTTTGCGGGGCAGATTGTAACTTTGGGCAGTATTTTTCCAGGTCAATATTGTAGGTGTCTAAGGCACCTTTTTCATCTGCAGTTATGTTTATCAGTGCCAAACTCGCAGCTTTACTAACAGGTTTGAATTTGTCATCTAGAAGAGCTATAAGAGATGACAGGATCTGAGGTTCAGATATAATGTTTTTAAGGCCATCCTTATTTGCAGTTAAACCTAAAAATTTAGATTAAAGTATGATCAGTAGTAGATCATAATAGAAACGTACCTAGTATATGGTCAACTGCTACAGCTTTTAGATCAGATCGGGCACCAAGTTCCAGGAACTTTGTAAGTTCTTTCAAGGATTCACACATTTTTATATGAAAATTTTAAAGCATGAGAACATAAAACAAGATTGAGAGAAAACAAACCTGCAGGTTATTTTTTATTCATCGATAAATAAACAGGGAATATAACATAAACAAATGGCAAAAATGAAGACTGGAGAACTGGAAAAACGGTCTGGAAAACCTTGGAAAAATGCAATAAAATAAAAGGTTAGAAATTACATAACCTCACTCTGTCACTGTCACTCTACAAAAACAAACAGCGGAAGTGCAAAGAGAAGAATAAACAATTTGGTAGATTTTGCAAATCTGTGGCTCAATGCTAATGCACCATGAATTTTATAATTGTGGATAATTGCAGATTATGCCAAATCAACATTGGAACGATTCCATTTGAAAATGATAACATTCTACAAGAACAAATTTGTTCATTTTTCAATATTCAGGTATTCGATAAATAGACTAATAATTTGAATGTTATTTTAAGTATGCTTATTGCCTTTCAGGTGAATGATCTCTCAGATTGCTTACCAAAAAATATTTGTTCCACATGCCGGGACAAATTAGATGAAATACAAAGCTTTGTGAAAGATGTCCAAAGGGTAAATGAAAACTTAATTGCCCTAGCCTTGGACCAAAAGAAATTTGACATAAAAGGTTGATCCATTTTTACTTAATTGTTAATCTTTCTCAAAAATGTTTTTTTTTTAGAAGAATCAGAGGATGCATTTCCTAGTATGCTTGATCACCCATGTAGTGATAATGAAAATAGTTATGAATTAAAGTGCTCGAAGTGCCCTGCTACTTTTGAAGATGCTACAGATTTAAAAAACCATCAAATATCACATGATCAACCGCAGGGTTCTCAAGAAGATTTCCGTTGTCCTGTTTGCTCAAAATTTTACAAAAGAATTCGTAGATTGGAGACTCATAAAAGAGGTCATCCGGAAATATATTGCGCTAGCTGTGATATAGTTTTTGATAGTACTAATGAGAGAATAGGACACCTGTGTATATTAGAAAAATCTGAGCAAAACATGTTAAATGAACCTTCGCATTGTGACATTTGTACACAACAATTCAGTGATAGGCAAAGCTATGTAGCTCATCTGAAAAATCATGGAAAATATATGTGCCCTAGAGATGGATGCTGCAAAATTCTTAGCTCTCTTAAAACACTGAATAAGCATTCTTCAGTACATGATGACAAAAAACATTTTTTGTGTGGAACATGTGGTAAGCCATTTCTGACACTTTAATGAACACGGTTTATTGGTAGAAATAAAGAAGATTAATGAAATCTCAAAATTCAAATTAACTTTATTCAAATTGATAATTTTGACATATGACAATCAGTGGGGGTAATAGTAGTACTAACTACCGGTGGATGCAGTGTAGGTGTTTACACTATTTTTTCTGCAATTATTGTAATATAGATGGCGCTCACAGCCGAGCAAAACATAATAGTCCATCAGTAGTTGATATTTTGTATTCTTGTCACAATTCATATTCCATCCAGATAACGTCTAACTTGATCATTATTTTCAGGTAAAGGTTTTACTACAAAAAAGTCTTTATCTTGCCATGAAAAGCTGCACTTAGCTGTAAAACAATACAGATGCAAGGAGTGTAATTTAAGTTTTTCTTTTCGAAGCAATTACAGAACTCACCTTAGGTTTTACCATGAAGGTTTTAGATTTGCATGTACAAAATGTGACAAAACCTTTATGACTAACATAAGCCTGGAGCGTCATGAGAGAATGCATACAGGCAAGAAAGATTTTAAATGTGAACAGTGTGCAGCGGAATTTTTCAGCAAAAAAGAGCTAAAGAAGCATTTTCGTTGTCATGTAGTAAGTACTCCAGCCTCTATTTGAATTTAAATCGCTGCTGGCAGGTTCTTTGTTATTGACATGTGTCAAAGGCACGCCATTTGTCATCCGTTTAAGTTTGAGGTTATTCAACTGTCATTCGTGTTTGGAGTTTAGCAAGTATAACGAGCTTGACTTTTTTTGTATACACTGTGGGAATGGCCGATGAAAACGAGCCAGAGCGAACTGAAAGCGAACCCCAAAAGCAAGAGAAGATGTTTTCGCTGAAAAAATGGAACGCTAGTCGCAATGTGGAGTTGGGATGTTGAATGCGATACTTGCGCTATTTGCAGGGTTCAAGTGATGGACGCCTGTCTCAGGTGTCAAGCTGAGAGCAAAAAAGACTCGTATGGCAAGCAGGATTGCGTAGTGGTCTGGGGGGAGTGCAACCACTCGTTTCACTATTGTTGCATGTCTCTGTGGGTAAAGCAGAACAATCGATGCCCTTTATGTCAACAAGAGTGGTCCATACAAAGAATGGGGAAGTAAAAGGTGAACAATTTGTTGTTGAAGGTGGTCAGCAGATTTATGCACAAAATAACCCGCACCAAAGTCAAATTAGTGATCTAGGACAAGCTCTAAAAGTTCTTCAGCAACCTACCTTGCCATTTGCACAAATGGTGTTATTCAGTCCTTATATTGTCACTAGAGTCCATTGACATTTTGCCTTTTATCTGTATCTTGCTATAGCCATGCATTACCCATGGGTGTTTTAGGCCTTTTTGGAGGTTCAAAATATACAAAAAAATTTCTAAGTAGCTTATTGTTTTTTTAGGGTGAAAAGAAACATAGGTGCGAGACATGCTTTCAATCGTTCCATGATAGATTCTATCTCAAAATTCATCAGAGAAAGCATACTGGAGAAAGGCCATACATCTGTGATATCAACTCTTGTGGGAAGTCATTTATGGACAATTCCAAGTTGAGTAGGCATAAAAAAACAATGCATTGAAGAGCCTCACTAATTCAAAATTATTGAAACTATACCATTTTTGTGAAAATAATAGCATTTTGAATTATTGGTTATATAAATATATTTTACACTTGCTCATCTGTATCAAATAGGGCCAATGCCACAAAAGATTACAATTGTGGTACTGTTTGTGTGTGGTATCATTATGTATTATGTATTGAACTATTTAAAGAAACTATATTTTTATGAATAAATTAAAATTATTATCCATATATACATATTTGTATCCAATATTCTAGATATGTTTTGTGGAAAGTAGAATCTGGAAGCAAACTTTCTTTGTCTTTACTGTATATATTTTGAAAATTGTTTTATAGATGGCACTGTATATTTATACAAGTGGATACAATGCCATCTATGAGACACTAACCTCATTTTATCTCAGATAACTTTTTGACGCGAGAATATAGCATCAAGTTGGATATCTTCAGGTGAAATACCATAATCAATACTAATATAAAGATACGAAAAAAATTCAAGAGACTGAAAAGTTGTATTTCTATTTGCTTAATAATAAATATGTATTGCCCAACAGATACATCCATTTAAAGGTCAATGTAACTGAATACAATTTGACATTACAGTATTTTTAACTATACTAAGTGACATATAAATCCGAACACCCAGTTTAAATGGTTTTATTTTAATAAAATTTTGTATAAGTACTTAATGAAGCATAATAAGTAAATGATAAAAATTTCAAAATGATTGCACTGCTTTAAAGCCCTTTGACCTTTAATAATGTGTGGATGCACCCTGATATGCTACGCATTCTCCAACGCGCCTAGGGATGCTTCTGATCAGGTGGTCAATGTCCTCCTGTGGTATCTCATTCAGGCAACCACCAACTCCTCTCGAAGTGCTTCTAGAGTCTGAGGAGGACGTTGCAAATTGAGCAATCTCCTACCCATCATATCCCACACGATGCTCAATTGGCGATAAGTCGGGAGATCTTGGTTGCCATGGTAACAATGTGACATCATTATGTTGAAAGAAGTCTATTGTGACTCTTGCAACATGTGGTCGGGCATTATCTTGTTGGAAAGTTGGATCTGCCAGGGTGTCAAGATGGGGTTCTAGAACTTCGTGGATATAACGCTGCGCGTTCATGTTACCTCTGATGAAGATTAAAGGTGACCTGGAACCATAAGCTATAGCACCCCAAACCATAACTCCAACAGTGTGATGAACATGTCTTTCAACAAAAAACTGTGGATTCCTCCTTTCACCACGTCGCCTTCTAACCCTGGCACGACCATTGTGCATGCCTAAACAAAATCGAGACTCGTCACTAAAGACAATACTGTTCCATTCCTGATCCCAGAGTGACCGTTGTCTGCACCACTCAAGGCGATTACGTCGGTGTTCTCGAGTTAAAGGGAGGACCCAGTGTGGCCGGTATGAAAACAAGCCAAAACTTCTCATTCGTCGGTAAACACTTCGCATGCCAATAGGTCTTCCGTGTTCTGCAAACCATTCATTTGCAATGGACCTGGTAGTGGAGAAACGGTCCCTTAAGGCCAATAATCTTATGCGGCGATCTTCACGGTCTGTTGGTCTACGGCGGCGTCCAGTGCCTCTTGCTCTTTGCGTACGGCCTTCTCGAAGCCATGCCTGACAACACCTAACCACAGTGTCTACACTTCTTTGCACTCTAACTGCAATTGTCCGAAAAGAAAGTCCAGCTTCCCGAAGTCCCACTATACGGCCCCTATCAAACTCACTAAGTTGACGAAATCGTACAGGTCTCCGTACTCTAGGCATCGTAACCGATCGTAAAGGATGTCGAGAACCAAAATCCGCCAACGTTGATTCTTTACTGCGGCTGAAATATTCATTTTTAGAGCGTTAGTGAATTAAAAAAAAGCAGTATAAAAACCGGAATGTCCATCTGATAAGGCTGAAAATTTTTTCACTTGTTATTTACAGTAAGATAAATACATTCACCAACTTTTATTAAAATAAAACCGTTTAAACTGGGTGTTCGGATTTATATGTCACTTAGTATACAATGATAGCTCGCCCCACAAATATCGGCTATGGTGTTAAAGCTGGAACACATAAAGTACATAACATTAGAATTTGGTGTTTTTAAGTAAAAAGCGAGCAATATTCGGGAAATGCGGGACGGTACATGATGATGAATTTTAGCTAATAAAGCTGAAAAATCAACATCACTGTGTACGAGTTTGTAAAGGAATTTTAAGCTATTACGAACTCTTCTCAGCTCAAGAGGATGCATTTCAAATCTGAACAACATCGCTGATTTTGGAGTCCCACGATTGGGATAAACACCATCTAATTTGAAAGTCAAGTATTTAAGAAATCTCCTCTGTACACTTTCAATTTCATTAGTATAGATTTGGTAATATGGATGCCATACACTAGATGCATATTAGCACACTGTATAACAAAAGATATTGTGCAATGAATGAATGTATTTTGTCATTTCTCTATCGGTTTTTAAATGAAGTATTTTACATTCTCGTTCAGATGATTTCAACTACAAACCACTCTTTTGATAAAATATATTTTCTTAGTAGTGTGGCATACCTTTCCTTACATACTTTATATTTGTCCCCTAAGGCCCGTATCGTCAGTCGTCCCTACAATTGTAGGGCGCGTTTATGGCCTCCTTGATTGTCACACTCCTTTCTCTCCTTCAAAAATTTCTAGATTACACTTGTCCCGTGTCAGCGCCAGCGCTCTCCTATTGTGAAGATATGTTTTCTTTTTAAATTGTAGGAAATTTCAGGCTGATAAAACATGATATAACTCAAAAGGAAGCACAATTTGATGCAAATAGATGTTTGTGACATAACCTCAAAATAGAGTTCTGACACGGAGAAGTAGAAAACTATGACAATTAAGGAGGTCCATAAAGGCGCCCTACAATTGTAGGGACGACTGACGATACGGGCCTAAGTTGATGATGAGTCGACCGGTTGAAGGTTTGCATGTTGCACCTATCTTTTATTACAAGTATCTCAAATATTTCTAAGATTATGAGGTCCCCATGCAGTCAACTCTGTGCTAAAGGTTTGAGCCTTTCATTCTTACTTCTACTGCCAACTTAGTCACTCTACTCGGAAGGCTTTTAAGTATCCCTATTTAGCATAACAAAGGGTTTCAAATTCTTTTTGGCCTTTTAATTTCGTATTACTCAGTGATTATTTTACTGTTCTCTTTCTGATGATTTCAATTTAAGGTGTAATAAAATAGAAAGAACATACTTTGAAAGCATTTTATTCACAAGAAACCATATATAATTCATAATTTCAAATGAGTAAATCTTCGAACTAAAACTAAATGCCAGCATATAGCCTTATATGTTATACCAAATATCATACATACAAACATTACAAAACTACACTGTGATGGTGTACGATCTCATTCTCTAATTTGTATATACACATAGAGTAATGTCTAAGCTATATATCACGAAAAGTAACCTAAAAATAAACAATATACAGTCTTTACATAAGTCAAAGGACAACTAAGTGATAATCATATTGGACTAGAAATGCTTTTTATCAACTTATAAATTGTCTAGAATCAGTATATCAGACAACTAATATGCTCCAATTATCTTAAAAATACAATCAACCACAAAAAGGAACAATATTACAATTAACATATGTTCTAGACAAACAGAGAGACAGGCAAGTGGAAGAAGAGAAAATAAATAGTTGCCTTTCAATAACTCATAAACATGAGCCATCAAAGTGCGTTGTAGGTAGAAAAATGCATGATAGTAGCCAAAAAGAGATATCTTTTAATATTTTCCACTTAGACTGAACAAAACGAACGTAAACCAAACAGATAATCTTCCTGGCAACAGAAGAGATGACAACCTGGCACAGTAAAAACCTACTGTGTACCAAAGTTTTCACCACATAATAGGCCCGGATCCTATAGCACTTTCCTTACTCTGATAAACTCACGGATCAGGTGTAAGTTATATAAAAATTCCTAAACTTTTTATTGGAATTATGCTGCAAATACAGTGAAACTCCAGAGGCAGGTCAGTTTTGTGAATAATTTCAAATGACATCTCAATATCTGGTTGTCAATGATGAAGTTTATTGCTCACTAAGTTAGCGACGTTACCTCGGAGACGTCTCGGAGTCAAGTTGACTTACAAAGATAGATTCTATGCTGTAAGTAAGCTTCAACCCGCCATGGTAACGTCGTTAACTTAATTCCACATCCTTTTTTCAACAGTCTAAAGGAGTATTTTGAATACTTCAACACTGACACTTAAGACGGTGGTCAACACGAGTATTTTCTTCTTTCGGTTGATCAACATTTTAATCACGAGTTTATCAGAGTATTATGCGGGTCCGAGCCTACTAAGTGACCTCACATTTAAACATTGGATATTTGCGGCACCTCATTCTCAATTTCATCCATCACCACAAACGATCCAATCGCGACACCCTTTTCGCGGGATCAATTTCGTCATTAGATTCGCGATTTCGCATGATAACACCGTCTTTGTTGTCGAAGGTGTTGCTTCTGATCAACCTGGGCGGCTCGGCAACCTGTTCAGGCTCGGTTTGAGGTTGGATCCAAATCCGACTATCCTTCTTCGGCGTTTGCTTTTTAGCGTCATCAATTTTCTTCCACAGACTCGCTATTTTGCTCGTCACTTGTTTCTTTGCGCTTGTGCTTCCGTTCGAGTTCAGGCTAGTGTTACTGTTAGACCTAAGAAAAAAAAAGAAGAAAAATGCATGATCAGTTCATAAAGGATGATGTTTGAACCTGTATAACAAAAAGTTAAATAGATCAAGTCAGTCAAACAGGTTAATTCGGGTTTACAATACTTCTTCGCAACGTAGGTTGGGAAGTAAAACAGAATCAAGTGGTCAAGTAAATTGATTCCGACTTTTTCACGCAATACTTTCAGTTTATATTTGTGAACCATGTCTAACAGTTACGCAAAATTGATATGATCAAGGTTTTTGAGGACGAACATTCTTTGTTTAAAAGGGTTTGATCCTTCATTACCCTCCATCACATTTCAAAACTTCTAATGCTCAAAAAAAGGAAACCAAAAGCCTCCGAAACGTCGCCGAAGTAATGCGTATGTTGTTCAACATTTGAACGCCGATAATCCTAATGGAGGATTTTGAGATTTATTTCAAAATTATTTTTTGAGATATTGGTACTGGTACTATTTCTTTAATCACGCTGCATATGACAATAGAAGTTTCGTCAATTTTCGTATTTCTCTTATTTTAATTAAAATCGAGGGATTTTGTTATTAAAAAACGGTCAAGGAAATTTGAGTGCAAAATATTAATATTTACGTCGACGGAAAGCATTTTAAAATCAAGGGTCGATGCGAGTCTAGAAAACGTACCTGTACGCGTGACTAGACCGCGTGACGTCAGTAGCCAGACACGTGCTGTCGCCCTCATAGAGTACTTGTTAAAGTAGTTCGGTAAGTACCTATATGAAGCTAATTTTTTTTGTTTAGCTCGAATGGGTAGTATTTTTTGTATTTCTCCGCAAAACTTGATCCTGCATTGCTTTAGTCTATTGAAAGCTAATAATATTAAGACATAATAATGCGTGCTCGTGACAATAGTTTTTAAGGCTATTTATCTCTGCTTTTTTCTTTCCAGGTAAAATATTATGGAATTTAAATTATCATACATTCCTTTTTACCTTGGTACGCCTATTAAGAGCCCAGAAATTGGTTCTTTTTGCATGCATAATGAGGCTTTATTACTCTATTCTGAAGTAAAGTATGGTACCTAATATGTTTTCAATGAGAGAAATTCCAGGGATGTAGAGAGAATCTTATTTTTTAGGGTCTATTGGTGAATACTTAAATACGGGGGGGGGGGGGTTAGTCACATTATAGAATTTTATAGCTACTAAAATAACAAAGTTTAGGGCAATGAAGCCAGGTTCTAAACGTTGACTAATATTGAGCTTACTACGATCTCGGCAGTAAGCTGGTCAGCTTCGCTCTCACTACTTTCAGTACTGCTTCCACGGGCTTCATACGAATCAGATTCGGTGTTTCTGTTATTGCGGGACTTTCAAGATTTGCCCGTTGACTTTCCTCTTGCAAACGTTTTTTTAGCTGCTCTGAAGTCTGTTTAGCAAGCGCAGGAATTCTTATTGACGATACAGCAACATCCGTTACTTTCCGTTTTTGCGAGATTTGAACTGACTTGCGTCTAAAATGTACCTGTTTGGTTTGACATGCCTGTGACTGAACTTCTACTGTTAAAGGTTCAGGCAGTTCATCATGCTCCTCCTCGATAACTTCCACGCCTTAAGGCTCGGACTTTTCGGCTGAGGGTCCCGCCCGGCGTGCCGCCGCTGGCTGCAAATATTTGGCGATGTCTTTCTGCCTTGCCCTTTTTTCGCTGAACACTCGTTTCGTAGAGCTTAATTGTCTACCCAGTTGACATGCAAATTTAGGATTCATCCGGGCTGGAACTTGTATTGTAGATAGTTTTCCATATCTTTTTCCAGGTCAAAATGAGCTTCGCAACAGTACATGGTCGACGTGGATGAAACTGATTTTACATCCCGTCGAGCTGCGTCAACCCAGTTTTTACATTGTACGGCAGCTTTTGGAACACTCACATATTTTTTTTGTGGTGTTGTACTTGACGTACCTGTACATTTTGGCACAAAACACCACTTTCTGTTCGACATTCAACACCGTCAAAGTTCACAGAATTTAACAATAATCTATCGTACCAGCTCTAACTACTCAAAACCGATTACTGGGGCGTTGTTGTGAGAATGGTAAATGCAGCGGGCCAGCTAGCGAGGTGTGTCTGGCTAATGACGTCACGCGGTCTAGTCTCGCGCAGAGGTACGTTTTCCAGCCCCGCGCCGATCTTTGATTTTGAAATGCTTCTAGTCGACGTAAATATCAATATTTTTTATCATTTTTTAATAAAAAAATCTCTCGATTTGAGTAAAAATCAAAAATGGCGAACCTTCCTATTATTGGGAACAAAAGAGAAAATAATTACCTGTTGGTTAAGCTGGGTATAGAAGACTTTTTCACAGCACCGTTTTGAGTCTTGCCGTCTCCTTTAAGACTTTGTGTAGATGGACTATTTTGTATTCTTCTCGCTGTTACTGCTTCGCGACTATCTGCACTGGTCGATCTGAAAAAAAAAGATTTCGAAATTTTCATATTGCAAAAAATATTGCTCCTAGAATCGCGCGATTTCATTTCATTCACGATGCGAACACCGACATTGTCAATTTGCCGCAATGTGTAGTGTTCTAACTATTATAACAAAGGATTGCTGTACGATTCGCTTGAATGTAACGTCGCTGTGTTAGTTACAGATAAGAAATATATATACATTTAGGGTGGATTTCACAATTTAACAAACCATTATTCTGCAACAATAGGGTACGAGTACCAAACAGTCCGTTAAATATATCCAATCAGCCTCAAGATCTCTCCGTCAAATTTTTGGCAGCAAATAGCATCAAAGTATTCAAAACAAAACACTGTAAACTATGAAGTGACAGCTTGCCATTGAAATCTTTTCAGTTTATTAAATATTATGAAATTATGTAAAACTGAGCCAAAATTTTTAAAAATGCTTGATGTCTGAGTAAAATCTATTTTTTCAGATTAGCTGAAGGTTTTTCCATGTTTACTGCAACTTTTGTAATCCATATGTGATTATATCACCTACTGTGTGTTTATAGTTTATCCTATATTTGCAAACTTGCACTTCCAAACCCTTACATGAAAAACCCTTTTCACTCAAATTTTTGTTAGGTGTTGCATTTCAACACATTCATACACTTCTTTCCAGTTCCTCAACGATATTTTAACCCCACTGGTCCGAAACTGTTAAACAGTTTCAACATTCATACATACAATTGCAGTTGCAGTTTTTTGTTTTAATTTCAGTGTATAATCAGTCGCACCATCGGTGATGGTACATTCAACATAACCACGTATTTAGGGGTTCGTGCAGATTTAACGTGTACACGACGTCATCATTAGGCGCTCCTCTGGCGATGTCCGATTGCGTTCAGGTGCCTTCTGCAGGTACCTCTTCACCACGGTTAGGAGTTGATACCAGCGCGGCTCTCGTGTTTTTTGCTCTAGGCATGGCCATCCTCAATTAATCGCACAAAAAACAAGTCCAAGGCAACAACTCAAACAAAAACAACAGATGATTCACCGCCTGGCTTTGACCGTAAATCGTCGTGGAACACGAGACACAACAGAATTATTATAATTACGTCAATACGAGCATAGAACAGTATAGAAAGGGCTACCCAAGGGTAAGACGAGTTCCGAAACCACCCGAATCATGTCAAAGAATGGCTGTGACGTCCCCAAAACGTTTGACCACCACTGGAAATCACTAGCTAGTTACCATCTGGCGGCGTAACATGTGGAGGACACTGGTGTAGAAACAGCTGTTCCTTAAAATTCGGTTACCGTAAGTCGTGCATGAACCCGACATTATTTTTCAGTAATTACTAATAATTTTAGGTCTATGTCTACAGTAATTGCATTATGCACCTCGGAGATGTAGGGATTAACATGTTTTACACATATCGGTGTTTTAGGATGGGGACGACATACTGTTTTGATTGCTTTGAAGAAATTCATTAACCCATGAATTTATAACAAATGATTACTATTATGATGTAAAGAGAGATGAGGAATTGGTTGTAATACATTTTATATTCTATTTTCTTGCAAATCCGCACAATTCAACAGGTATTTGTAGCTATAATGATCACATATACACACAGTATATTGAACTTAACAAATTTCGAGATTGCCATGAATTAACAAACGACCAAACCTGCTGCCAAATTTAACAGCTAGAAAATCGACCTATTATTTCTCCCATTCCCATTCGCTGAGGGGATAACGGATGGTCAAATGTACACTTATAACATACATCAAAATACATGAAAGTTGTCCTGTTTTCTCTGTACAAAAGCATCATGTTGGAATCAAAAAGTGGTCTTGTTTATAATACAGTCGAATTTTCACGATTTTATTCAACATTTTAATAGAAATCACTGATATTCTGAGACATTTGACAGCTTCCGTCAAATTGCATTTCGATAAGGTATTTTCCTATTGGTCCATAATAATAATGTTGGTGCAATCGGCCCTTAGAGTATTTTTTTCCAAAGGAAAATTACAATTTTATCGCATATTTACTAACGAAGCAAATGAGAAACCTTAACAAAGGAATGTCATGGATGCTCTATTGTTAGAGATAATCATCCGACAAGGTTAATTGTTTTTATATTTTATGCCTTGTAATAGAATCTTGTTTATAGACCCAATACTGAGGTTTTACATACCTGTTATATATTCTAGAGGTCTTGCTCGTCCTATCGGTACTAGCAGACTTGGCGGGCATTCTAGGCGTAGGCGGTTTAGTACCCACAGATGGTACCCTGGGTATATTCACGCTGGCGGGTCGTGGTCTTTGCGAAATCTGCGGTATTTTTGTGCCCGATGATGCGGGAGTCGGTATCCGACTGGTGGTTCTCGGTACGACTCCGGTACTTTGGGAGGGTACCGGGTCGTCTTTCGTGAATGTGCCTTGACGTTCCATCACAAGCGTGCCTGACAAAAATAAAGTGCGCGCTGTTTCATGAAAAATAGGCATTTAAGTGATGAAAAGGAGGAAATCGAAACTAAAGGAGACAGTTTCGTATATTGTTAAACATTCAAATAAAAAAATTCCTACTTCGTGCAGAGAAGTTTCTAGTTTTTTTCAAAGTTGCTAGGGTTAGGTTAATTGGAATAGAATATAATAAATTTCATTTCAATTTGACTACAAAGTAGTATCGGAATATCGTCATACACATAAACAAGTAGAGTATAAAACAAACAAAGCTATTTGAAATAACGCATATCTAACAAATGAAAACATTTAAGAGACAGTTAAAATATGCCTCTACAGAGTAAAAGTAGTTTTCTGTAAATATTTTCTTACTCCACCCCTAGTATCCAGTGTTTAGTATGAAAGTGATGAAGTGTTAGTTACAAAATCCCCAAGTACCTTTAGCAGTGTTCCCGACTTGTTTTGTACCTGCAGTTGACCCACTTGGGGTGTGTTTGGACTGTATCTCGATTGTGGTACCCTAGCAGGACTCGTTTTTGGCGAGCTGGAACTGCTCACGGGTCTGCTGTTGTTTCCAGTCGTCTTTCTGCTGTTCTGGACTGTAGCCTGCTTAGAAGGCACCTTTAAAAAATATAATTATTAACATTCATGCGTGAGGTTTGTGATAGTGTCACTCGACAATGTACTGCCTCTTTTTCTAACGAGACATCCGCATATCAAAGATTGACGAGTGACACTCCTACACGACATAAAACAAATAAAAATTATTACTTCTATCATGTGTAGAAGAAAATGTTTTAGTAAAGAAAAAGCAAAGTTCTGGTTCCTCTTCCTTTTGCAACTTAGGTGAGTTCTATTAGATATTTCTAAGCCTACATAAATTGTAACTTACTGTTTTATTTTGTCTGCTGGTAAACGGCTTGAGTGGTGCACTGGACTTGATAGCTGATGTGACGTTTTTCACTAAATTCGAAGTCATCGTTTTTGCAGGTTTTATACTTTTCGGTGTGATTTTATTGATGTTACTTTTAGAGTACAGGGGTTTTCTTCTTCCTCGGATTCCTTTGATTTGCTCCTCCTCTTCGTTTACAGTTGGCTCTTCAGGCTTTTCAGAAGGTTTCACTATTTTTGGTTTACCTGAAAAGCCAATCACTGTCAGAAAATGTATAGCACAAGCTGGAGAATTGCTGTACAAATAAAAGAAGTAGGATGATGCAATGCAATGATATCGAAACTTGAATAAATATGCAAAAAACATACCACCTATCCTGTGTTCATTTTCATCATCTGAAACTCCATCACTACCAGCAAGATCTGGATCAGGTAAATCTAGTAGCTGTTCGATATCTGTTGTGGTTTTGCCGTTAGTTAAAGTTTCTGGATCTATCGCACTCTTGGAGTCAGCACCTCTGCTTCTGGTACTCCAGCTTCGGTTGTATGTTCTATAGTTGACAGTCGAACTAACTACGCTGAAGTTGCACTCTGAATCATCGTCGTTGCTAACCTAAAAAGAGAAAAAAAGCACTTACACTTACAGTACTTTTATCTCCAAAAGAATACTGTCTTTGAAATAGGGTGTACAAAATGGGGTACATCCCTTAAGAAGCAGTATCGACAGTTGTTTCTACAATTTATATAAGTACTAAAAATATTCAGTCTGGTATCTCTTATAAAAATGAAGACTTGAAGCTTGTCTCAAAATGGTTAGCATCTAACAGACTAAAATTAAATGCAAGTAAAACGAAAGCCTTGTTAATCGGAAAAAAGCAATGTACAAATGTTCAACTAAATATTGATGGTGAAGATATTGAATTCGTAGAAAATTTTAAATACTGGGGGTTTTTGTTGACTCTCGATTAATTTTTGATATTCATTATGAAAAAGTTATAAATAAGATTAGTAGTAAAGTGGGATATTTATCGAGAGTTTCTGGATGTCTGAGTTCATATAGCAGAAAAATTATCTATAATACCATCATTCTTCCAAATTTCTTGTACTGTTCGACTATTCTATATTTAGCAAATAATTCCATTTTTAAAAGACTGCAAATTTTACAAAATAAGTGCATGAGAATAATACTAAATAAAGATAAATATACTCCAATTAGGCAAATGTGCTTAGCAAATTAAAATGGCTCAATGTAAAAAAATTTATCAAATATCTTGTAATGATATTCATTTATAAAGTAAAAAATAATATATTCCCATCAAGTCTAACTAATTTAACATCATCAAATGTCGAGCATCATTTACATAATACCAGAAATAAAGATGACTTCCATTTAATGACCAAAAAGTATAACATATGCTACAAATCTGTATTCCATCAAGGGTTGATTGAATATAATAAATTATACTCGGAGATAAAAGACCAGAAAACTTTGACAAAATTTAAAGTAAAATTGAGAAATCACTTGTTAAATCTACAATTATAGGCTGCCCATGATTTACATCATACACCATATGGATTGAATTTACTAGTTCTAAGTTGTTTACAATTTTTCTGTTTATGTAGCCAAATGTGCTAAATAAATCTTTCTACTACTACTACTACTACCTGTATGGCCTCCTTAATTTTCATAGAATTTTCTCTCCTTCAGAAAGGCTGGGGTATTTCTAGATTTTTACTGTTCCGTGTCAGGAATTGTAGGAAATTTCAGGCTAACAAGACGGATGATAAAAATCAAAAGCATGTACAATTTGATGTAAATAGATATTGGTAACAACCTCAAAATCGAGCGCCTTTCTGAAGGATAGGAAAATATATGAAAATCAAGGAAGTCATAAAGAGTCCTTCAATTATTGTAGGAACGACTGACGATACGGCCCTATATGAGTAAGTTGTTTTTTGGATATCATCAAATTGTTAAAAACTGATTTTCAATTGCGTCTGTCAGATCCGTGTGTCTCTGGGGGAAACTCCTTAGGACAATTTTTGTAGTAGTATTTTTTACTTCCCACGTTAATTGATGAGAAAATATTGTAATCGCAAACGTTTGAAATAGAGATTTATTCTTTACACGGCAAAAAATCATATTACTCATTTCGTTTGGTCTGTCTATCTATGTTGGTATGTGTGTCCGCTTCTTGGCCCTTGATAACTTGAAAAGTGCAGCTTATATTTAGATTAAATTTGAAAAAGCTTTACAAACCTTGAAAATCCGTCCAGTAGTAACGAAGTTATAAACGAAAATCTGAAAATTTTAAAACGTGCCCTAATCTTCTTTTTTTCGATGTTCTCGGATTCTTTGAATTCTTTTGGTGTCGTAAAAAACTTATGATTCAAAATATCTAAAAGATCCTGAACCTCTGTTTTTAACGTTGGTCAACTTTCTGGTTACTTTAGGGTGCAATCGAAAAAATTATTAAAGGATCGAAAAGCTGAAGTTTTAAAAAATCAGGTATTTCACATACAGTAATGGACAAAAATATATAGACAAATTAATATTGTGCTGTATTTCTTTTTCAACTTGTTTTATTAATACACCAACCTGTATACATAATTCGTTATAGCATAATATTCACTTATACATAAATAAACTCATTAGACTCCCTTCAATAAAAAATTAATTTAAAAAACTGGAACTATGAAGGACAAAAATATATAGACAAAGCAAAACAATTATAGAAAAAAGAAGCAAAGTACATTGAATTATAGAAAACCAACCATGTTTGTGTTAATATTTTGTAGCATAATCATTATTATCAATCACCGCCTGCATCGTCTCGGCATAGATTGTAGAAATTTCTTGATATAAGATTCATCAAAAAAAGGCTTACCTATCACATATTGATAACTTGAATACGCAGCAAGCTTGGAAAACCCTTGAAGATATGAGTATCTGTCGACGGAAAAAACTGAAATTCCAGATGACCTACTCGACCCAGACTCTGAATGATTACTTTTTATTGAAAACACAGGCTGCTGATATGAACTCGAGGCTAATTGAGTCTACAATTCATAATTATGATAATAGCTCCTTCTGCACTAATGTTCCTTCATTTACGTTTCGCTACGTTGACCAGCATGAAGTGCTGGATGTTTTAACTTCTATCAAGTCAGAAACATCGGGTTGTGATGGACTTAGTCGTAAAATGATACATCTCTGCTTACCAGAAATTTTGAATCACATTACTTATATTATAATGTTTCCTTAGAGACAGGGATTTTCCCAAGCTGCTGGAAGGAAGCTATCGTTTTGCCTTTGGCGAAGATAAACAGCCCCTCTGAGTATTCTCACCTACGGCTCATCAGCATGTTGTGCTTTTTGTCGAAGATTTTAGAGAAAATTGTCTACATACAGCTGGCCCACTATTTTGAACAAAACAATATGATTCCTCAATATCAGTCTGGTTTCCGTACGGGGCATAGCACAACAACCGCTTTATTAAATATTACGGATGATATCATCAAAAATGTAGATGATCAGATAGGAACAGTTCTGATTCTGCTAGACTTCTCTAAGGCCTTTGATATGGTACATCATGGTATTCTCTTGAGTAAGCTCAAATTTTATGGTCTCTCTGACAAGCCACTACGTTTCTTCGATTCGTATTTGCGCAATCGTACCCAGAAGGTGAAAACACGTAAGGGATTTTCTTCGGCAAAGAGTGTGGCATCTGGCGTACCTCAAGGCTCTGTGTTGGGACCATTACCATATTTAGTTTATACTTTTGATCTACATACTTGCCTTCAGCACTGTAATATTCAAACGTATGCAGATGACACGCAGCTAACTCTGTCTTTTGATTCTTCGGACATGCATGAAGCATCATATAAATTGAACTTAGATCTAGTTAACATTGAAGAGTACTGCAAACGACATTGTCTGAAGATCAATGCTTCAAAATGTTCTACTATGCTATTTGGCCCAAAACAGTTAGTACAACGGTTAGATGGCACAATTGTTCCTAGTCTTAACGAAACTCATATTCCTATAGTAGACCATGCGAAGTATTTGGGGATCACCATGGATTCAGATTGAGGTTTAAACAACATGTTACGCATTTATCTCGCTTAACATACATGCGTTTGAAGTTATTATACACCAATCGCCATATTCTGAATTTCAAGACTCGCAAAAAACTGGCTCAGACTCTGGTTCTATCGTTAATAAATTATTCAATTGCTGTTTACTTTCCTTGTCTTGATTACGTGACTAGATATCGAGTACAAAACATTCAAAATAGCTGCTGTAGGTTCGTTTGTGGTCTGCGAAAGTTAGCCATGTATCTAAGAAGATCAATGAGCTTAGATGGTTGAGGGTTGACCAGCTTTTCACATATAACTTACTAATTTTAGTACAACGAATAAAAATCAATAGGCTACCTACTTATCTACTAAAAGGCTGGTACCACGTGGGGATCTCAATTACAGGAGCGGTGGCCGCAGTAGTAGACTATTCGGTCTCCTGATCAGTCGCGTGCGCTGTGCGGGTTCGAGTCCCCTCCCAGGAGAAATTTTTCTCTTGGCTATGGATGTTGTGATTGTCCGTAGGTGGTAGATGATCTCTGACTGTCGAACGCGGAGATACCACCCGGCGGTTCTCGTAGGCGGAGCCAGAATGTGTGCATGTTGCATGCACACGTGTTCCCTCGCCAGAGTCCGTGTGGCGTCCCCCCCCTTTCCCATGTATCCCCCTATAGCCCCACGGTACCCAATGGGTGCTTAGGCCTTAGGCCTTCGTGGTAGTTGGAGTATAAAAAAAAAACAGGAATCTGAGACATAACTCTGACTTCCATATACCTAGTTATAGGAGCAACATTTTCCATCGTAGCTTCACCTACAACGCTGTCAAGGTGTACAATAGTCTTAATGACAATTACAAAAAGATGGGAATACTTGCTTTCAAGAGAGCCATTAAGAACCACCTGACTGATATATTTATTTTTTTTTCTTTATAGTTTTCGTAGAAACACTGACAATTCCTTTTGTATCGATTTCGTCTTTTTTTGTCTTCGGGTTTTAAATGGATCTTTGGACGAAATTACTTTTATTAATCTAACTGATCTAGCATTTAGTTTTCTAGGCCGACCACTTCTCTTAGAGGCTTCCAAGATAACTTTATGTTTATATTTGTTCAATATTGCCCAAACTGGTTTACGCTTCAGCTTCAAATTTTTGGCAATGTCGACTTGACGTTGACCATCTTTGTATAACTCAATGATCTTAGTTTTCACATCGAAAAAAAATTTCCATCCAGGTATTTAGGTAAATATTCATATTTGTCTATATACTTTTGTCCATTACTGTATGTGTGACTCTTAAAACTTTTAAATAAAAAATACTAACCAAGCTGAGCGTTTCACATTCGATGAACTGATGTTCGTCGACGCTGGGGGTGGTTCTCGCATCCGTTTGGAGAGATTGTAGCACGGCATCTGCTTCGCGTTGCAATCTTTGTTGGATATCTGAACCATTACAATCTGCCAGGACAGGAGGTGAAACACTGGAACTGCCCGGAGAAAAACTCGATTCGCTCAACGTCTGCGTCTTGAATCTGTAAATAAAAAAATGGTCTAGTTGATGATGTTAAAACTATTAGGGCGGTGAGCATCAGCCTAGAGAATTTAAAACTAAGTTTGTTACTAAATATATACGTTCTTTGTTCTTATCATGAGATAATATTCATAATACTGATGATACACAGCTCTGGTACATTCGTATGAGGCCCGAATTTCGTATATTTCCAGCAACAAAATAACTTAGTTTAGAATCCTATCGGTTGGTGCTCAGTGTATCAGTGAAATAATAATAATAAAAATAATTAAAAAATGGGAATCATTTCGTACAAAAGAATTATAACGGGTGATTTTTTAAGAGGTATAGGATTTGATTTTCAAAAAAAAAAACAAAAAATTTGAAAAAACGATTAAATCTTTATTTGAGTCGATAGAACGGTCGATATAATTTAATGTTTAAAGATTATTTCATGTAAATGTTGGCCGCGGCTCCGCTTTAGATGGCCCATGCGCAAGGTCCAATTTTGGCACACTCTCTAAAAAAAAACCGGCCGGTATCTCACGAATAAATGCTTCAATATTGGCTTCCAGTGCGTCAATCGTGCTGGTTTATCCCTGTAGACATTAGCCTTAGCATGGCCTCACAAGAAATAGTCCAACGGCGTTAAATCACACGATCTAGGCGGCCAATTGACGGGCCCCAAACGTGAGATAAACTGCTCACCGAACTCGCCTCTCAATAGGGCCATTGTGTCGTGTGCGGTGTGGCATCTGGCACCGTCTTGTTGAAACCACATGTCAGCCAAGTCCAGCTCTTCCATTTTGGGCAAATAAAAGTTTGTTATCATCGCACGGTAGCGCTCGCCATTCACAGTTACGTTCCGGCCATTGTCGTCTTTGAAGAAGTACGGCCCGATGATGCCACCGGCCCATAATCCACACCAAACAGTGATTTTTTCGGGATGCATTGGTAGCTCTTGCAATGCTTCTGGCTGGTCTTCACTCCAGATGCGGCAATTTTGCTCGTTAACGTACCCATTCAACCAGAAATGAGCTTCGTCGCTGAACACAATTTTTCGATAAAAATGTGGATCTTCCTCCAACTTTGCCAGTGCCCATTCACCAAATTGGAAACGTTGTGGGAGGTCGTGTGGCTTCAATTCTTGCACCAGCTGTATCTTATAAGGTTTTACACCCAAATCCTGTCGCAAAATTTTCCACGTAGTGGAGTAACAGAGGCCCAATTGCTGCGAACGGCGGCGAATCGACATTTCACGGTCATCATTAACACTGGCGGATACAGCCGCCATATTTTCTTCAGTCCTCACTCTACGTCTGCGTGTTGGTGGTTTAATGTCCAATAATGTAAACTGGGTTCGAAATTTAGTCACAAGCTTCCGAATAGCTCCCTCAGTAGGCCGACCAAATTGCCCATAAATTGGACGCAGTGCTCGATGCACTCTCTTAACCGAGCATGAATTTTGAGAGTAAAATTCAATAATTTGCAAGCGTTGTTCGTTCGTAAGTCGATTCATGGTTAAATTATAGACCAAACTGAACAAGTTTGACAATGATACAAGACACGATTCACGCGTCATCTGTCAAAAACAGCCAAAAAGATACTAGCAAAAAAAATCACCCATCATTATTATAACCAACTAATGTATGCATATTATTGAATAATAACTAATTACTTAACAACACAAACAACAATAAACAATTCCAAGAATAGTCCATATTTCTAGCTATTCATCATCAGACCTCGGCGTACAGTTTCAGTTTAGGTCTCTTTTTAAAACTAAAATAGTGTGTTATTTTGGAACGTAGCAGGCAGATGATTATACATATAAATGAATAGCGTTGTAACTAAAGGATTTTTTGTAGACATCTTTAGAATGTAAGGGTATCACTAACATATTTCTATTCCTTTTACAAATATTTAGTGGATTTGTGTCGCTATATCGTGCTAACTTCTTATTCAAGCGTCGTGGTGCAATTGATGGATTGATGAATGTTTATATCGGAATTTCTAACTCTAGACACTTTTTATGAAGCGTAAATATCTCGAACTGTCGCAACGGAGAGAATATTTTTCGACGATGTTCTTACCAAAAACAACCCGGCCTCAGTGCAATTTCTATATTCCGTCGAGTTGCTTCCATCAGATTACTTAATTGTCCACCCTAGATCCCTACCTGTCTCGATTCTCCATCCTCTTCTGTATAAAACTCCTCCTGATACCCAGCTTACTCCTCGTCGGACTGTGATGTTGCTGTGGCGATGAAGGCACTCCACTATCGTAGCTTTGATCGGCACTCTCGGTCTTCGGCGTCCCTACGGCGGCCTGTTGAAGAGCACTTGTTATGGCTCTGTCCAAGACTTGAGTCTCGAAGCGAGATCGGTTAGCCTGTCGACGTTCTTTTGGCGTTAGCTGGCGCGGTTGCTCCACGGGATACGTCGTGCTGTCAATGCTCAGATCTGAAAATGTCGGCATTTTTAAGAAACTTCCATAAATGCGACAAGGGCACAGTGTTTTTCATATACGCGGGCGGTCCGATAAGTGCTTGGCCTCATCACCCGATAGCGTCACCATCACAAGAGACATATGCAATCAGACTCAAAATTTCACTGCGTATCATTGAATTATCTAAGAAAAAAGTAACAGTTTAAAATCAAATAATAACTGTGCCGAAATCACTACTAAAAACGTGCTGAAAAACTGTTTCGAAATTTTGGGATATCCTGTTTTAAATTGGATCAATTGTTCACTGAGAAGCAGTTCTTTTCCTGAAAATTTGAAATGCTCTACAATAACACCAGTTCCCAAAATAAAAATTCTAAAAGATGCAGCGATATGAGACCAGTAAATGTGTTACCAGACATTGAAAAATTATTAGAGTCCATAGTGCATGACCAATTAATGCATTTTATAGAAGAAAACAAAATTTTAGTGGAGGCGCAAGCAGGCTTTCGAAAAAAATATTCCACAGAAACAGCTTTCCAGTTGGTAACTGAGAATTGGAGAAGAGCCATAGACTCAGAAGAAGTTGTCATAGCAGTATTTTTGGATTTGAAGAGGGCATTTGAAACGATTGATAGAGATATTTTGTTAGGTAAATTGAAGGCATATGGTATAACAGGAAGTGTTTTAGATTGGTTTAGAAATTATTTGTCTAAAAGGATGCAAGTTACAAAAGTTAATGACACTATTACATCGAAAATTGAAAATACGTGGGGTGTTCCACAGGGCCGTATCCTGGGACCACTTCTTTTTATTTTATACATAAATAATTTACCTGCCATAGTAAAAAAATGCAAAATTAAGATTTTCGCCGATGACACTATGATTTATATAAGTACTAAAAATATTCAGTCTGGTATCTCTTATATAAATGAAGACTTGAAGCTTGTCTCAAAATGGTTAGCATCTAACAGACTAAAATTAAATGCAAGTAAAACGAAAGCCTTGTTAATCGGAAAAAACAATGTACAAATGTTCAACAGAATATTGATGGTGATATTGAATTCATAGAAAATTTTAAATACCTGGGGGTTTTATTGACTCTCGATTAATTTTTGATATTCATTATGAAAAAGTTATAAATAAGATTAGTAGTAAAGTGGGATATTTATCGAGAGTTTCTGGATGTCTGAGTTCATATAGCAGAAAAATTATCTATAATACCAACATTCTTCCAAATTTCTTGTACTGTTCGACTATTCTATATTTAGCAAATAATTCCATTTTTGAAAGACTGCAAATTTTACAAAATAAGTGCATGAGAATAATACTAAATAAAGATAAATATACTCCAATCAGGCAAATGCTTAGCAAATTAAAATGGCTCAATGTAAAAAATTTATCAAATATCTTGTAATGATATTCATTTATAAAGTAAGAAATAATATATTTCCATCAAGTCTAACTAATTTAACATCATCAAATGTCGACCATCATTTACATAATACCAGAAATAAAGATGACTTCCATTTAATGACCATATGCTACAAATCTGTATTCCATCAAGGGTTGATTGAATATAATAAATTATACTCGGAGATAAAAGACCCGAAAACTTTGACAAAATTTAAAGTAAAGTTGAGAAATCACTTGTTAAATCTACAATTATAGGTTGCCCAGCATTTACATCATACACCATATGGCTTGAATTTACTAGTTCTAATTTTTTTTAGAATTATTCTGTTTATGTAGTCAAATGTGCTAAATAAATCTTTCTACTACTACTAGTAGTTTTGTTTTGACCGCGTGTGGAAGCGCACGTATCCCCTCAGTATAGAAAAATGGAAAAAAGCACTATCCGTCGGAAATTCGATTCTTATTGGAAGGGGAATCGCGCAGCGAAATCAAAGAGGAAGACTTTCATTTACAAAACTGCAGTAGCAATATAACGAGCAAGTCAGTATTTCAAAAGGGCTTGAACGAATTTAATAAATTAAGTAATGATATGTCAGTTTATGTTCAAAGGGAAATTGAAAAAATATCTCATGGAAAACCAGAATTCATAGTAGTGAAATTTCGTATAAAAATGTGTAGTCTTGAAGACATCATATATTTTGTGATATACTGTGTAATATGGATATTATGGACATGGTAGCATTAATGCTAAATAAATCTGAAACAAACAAACAAAAACGACGTGTTCCATTCCGACGTGTGTGGTTCCAACCGGGTGGGGTGACCGCCCAAACAGCAGCCAAAGTAAAGACGAACGTTATTCGCCCTTTCTTCCGTGATCCATGATGTTCATTGGCCCCTCTGTCCCCAGATTTATCCATCTGTGATTTTTTCTTATGGGGACACCTCGAGGCTCGTGTATACGAGCATAAGCCCCGAACTCTGGACGAGTTACAGGAGATGTTGCCAAAGTTGAGAGAACGACGTTGGAGAGTGTCTACGAGAACGCCTCAAGTAATTTATCGTCAAAAACGGTAACCACATGACTGATGTGATTTTCCACAATTAATTGTGAGAAACGCTATTTCATGGCTAACCCAAATCCGTCGATTAATTATGTTTTTAGGTAAAAATTACCGATTTTGTCATATAGGTATAGGTATATAGGTTAAAAAAATCGTAAAATTTTTCATCAGTCAAGCCATTGTCATAGTTGCCCGTAGAACCTTAGCTCTTGTGCAGAGTATCACTTCGTAAGTCTGTCAGTTCCGAAAATGAACAATGTTAAGGATAAGAGAGAAAAGGAAAGAAGGAAAGGAAGAAGAAACTCGATTTCCGAGATGCTTCAAATGATAAATGTATTAGCACAAGTAAGAACAAAATGCATTATACCTGTTACATGCCTTGAGTTCAGGTCTTCTCTAGTAGTAGCATAGTCTTCTGTTTTGTCAGCACTACTACTACAACTTTCTTTCTGTTTTTCCCCTTCTTCCTTCATTACCATTTCAGCAGCAACAGTGTAAGTCTTGTACCTAAAATAGAGTATTCAAAATTTACCCCGCTACATACGACAATATACAGGGTGACAGGTAAATAGGTGTAAAACATTTTAGGAGGTGTTAGTACAGTCCCTTTGCAATCGAAATTAGTATATAATACCATACCCTATATTCAAAGGTTGAAAAGTTATTGAAGATTTAAGATTTTTTTAAAAACAATCGATATTTCGGAGTAAAAAAAGTCGAGAGAGAAAAAAGTTGGCGATTAAACATTTGTTTTTTGTGGTTTTGGGTTATTAGTGTCAATAATTAACTATTATAAATTAAAAAAGATTCGAAAACAATACCAAACAACGTATTTATTTTCATTCAAAAATGTTTAACTAAGAAAAAAAAATAACGTTTTACAGTACGTAAGGTGTTTTACAAAAAAATCAGTATACAAAAAAACGTACAAACAATTTAAATAATATCCTTGTTTCATAAGGAATCTAAATTGGTATGATAAGTGCACAAAAACTCTGTGAAACTAAACATAATGTATTGTAATACAACAATAGGGAGTAAATTTACCAATGGCTTGTCTCCTATTTTCACAACTCTCTGATTGATAAGAAAGTGTTTTTGTGAAATAATGTAACTGTAAGCTATGGGATAGAATAATAAAAACTGACTAAAAGTTACTACAATTGGTAAGTAAAATACAATAATGAAATGAAGGTAAAATTCATTGCAATTGTTGTTCGAACTGACGCCCGCCGTTTCTTATGCAAGCCCGTAGTCTTTTTCTCATGTTGGTACGCGTGATGCGGCCAGTTAGTTGTCGTCTGATAGTGTCAGCAGCAGCAATAATTCTTTATTTCAACTGTGGAAGAGTGTCTATGGGCTCCGCGTACACCAGTGACTTCATGTGCCCCCATAAATAAGTCACACGGTGTTAAATCTGGGCTCCTCGCTGGCCACGGTGTCGGTCCACCTCGGCCAATCCAGCGACAAGGATATTTCTCGTCCAGCCACTGTCTAACACCCAGACGGAAATGCGCGGGACAGCCATCGTGTTGGTAGATCATCTGCAACCTGATATTCAGAGGCAGGTCCTCGAGATACTCCCAGAGTTCGGATCTCAAAAAGTTTTCGTAGGATTCGCCATTCAGGTTGTCAGGCAAAAAAACTGATCCAATTAGATACGTATGAATGATTCCCATCCACACGTTTGCCGAAAATCTTCTTTGATGGGCTCTTGGCTTTGCCATGTGGGGATTTGCTTCTCGTGGGGCCCAATAATGTAAGTTGTGATAATTTGTTGTCCCCTCTCTATCAAACTTAGACTCGTCGGTCCACAATATTTTAGTTAAATAGTCGTTTCTTCTTGATCCCGATGAAGCATGTATCGACAAAAATCAATTCTTCTTGCGGGATCTCCTTCTTCTAATACTTGAACCGGTGTTTAATGGAAAGGGTAAAGTCTCGCCGAATGCAAAACGAACCAAAATTTCCACTGAGTTAAACCAAGCTGCTTTGCTATAACTCGTGTAGACGTCGTCGGGTCTCTGCCGTAGCATTCCAGTATTGCCTCTCGATCTTCGTCGTCAAACAACCGAGGTCTACCAGCATCATGACGTCTCTCATGAACCGGTCCACTTTCCTTGACGGGTTGGTACACAGAAGCAAATACTCGATGACTCGGTATTCGCCGATTCGGAAAACAGGTTTTCGTATTCTCGCCTGGCTTCAACGGAATTTCCATCACTTAAACCATAACAAATATCAGCGTATTCTTCGTTACGGTAACTCGCCATTATTAAAACTGATCAAAAAAGTAAAAGTACATCCTACCGCGTTAAAGGTTGATATTCTACTAACTAACCTAAGCGTTAGTTCCCCTTCCTTGATCCGTCAGCTGTGTCAATTCATAACACATGCAGAGCTTGCTTCCGAGGAGCGACGACAGATTCCGAATACTTAAACCCGAATAACGGCACAGGGCACAAAAAATAACAACAAGGGTCGAACCATGAAAGGCTCGGTTTACCTGCTCAGTACAATGAAATGCGCTTATCCCTCCTTTCTAGCAAAGTAATATTGTTTTGTTAAATGGTTTACTTACTGATATGTTATTATACCATTTTAGAAACCTAATGAAACGAGGAAGTTTTTGCAGTTATTTGTACATTTTCTTTATTATGATTTTTTTTTGAAAAAAAAAGACTTCTTAATGTGAAAGTTGAAAATAAAAATTTTCATTTAGCATTTAAATGAATATAAATACGTTTTCAGTAGTGTTTTCATGTTTTTTAATTTATGAGAATTATTTATTTAAATAATAACCTGAAACCACTAAAAAAAGAATGTTTAATCACCAACTTTTTTTTATCTCAACTATTTTACTCTGTAATCTGGGTTGTTTTTTAAAAAAAATTAAATCTTCCATAACTTTTTAACCTTTGAATATAGGGTATGGTATTATGTACTAATTTTGATATCAAAGGAGCTGTACTATCACCTCCTAAAATGTTTTACACCTATTTACCTGTCACCCTGTATAAAAAATGTTAGATACGAAGAATATTTTCTGAAGAGACTGAATACTCTACTAAATGGTGGAGTAGAATAGCTAATAGAAAGGGGCCGTGGTTTTGTTATTTTTTGCCTATTTTTCTGGCAGCTCTACACGTTAATCAAATATATTTGTTAATGCAGCCATTTTCCGCAAAATAAAATGTTGGGTTTTTTATATCATTAAAAACGTAATTATCTTGGACTTTAAAGGTGTGACACTAAGATTAAGATTCGTATTAGACATTTTTTGATCCAAAATACAAAATTGGTGATTTTCTAAATACTGATTTCAACGCGCTGTGTTTGTTCAAAACTTTTGAGTGAGATGTATCTCGTAAGAGGATTTCACGTAGTACGGTGTTATGACGATTGTAAACAATTTTTTGTATTGAAATATTACCTGTCTCTTGCAAGATTCCTTCTTTGTTTAGTCATCATACTCTTGCTCATTGCCTTGGCCGGCGTTTTCTTCGGCGTTGCTTCGGCGCTACTTATCGGATCGGGAGTAACGCTGTGCGCATCAGAAAAACTCTGTGATTTCATCATCGGCTATTGTCGGGTCTTCTTTTAACGTTGAATCG